TCATCATATTGATTTCCCGCCCTAGATAGAAGATATAACTGGAGCATTCGGAGATATTCGTTCCGCTGAGAGTGAATGAGGCATACGAAACCGATCCGTTCCTCATAAACATCGTTTTTCTGAGCTTTAGTCGAAAACCAATCTTTCCGCAGGCTCTATCATAGTCGGCAAGCAAACGTTCCGATTTGCTAATGTTTTGTATTACAAGGACCATTCCATCAGCAAAGCGAAGATGATGTAACTCCCGATCATCGATTTTCACTCCCATATTATCTCATTCCAATGTTCGCATTACGTTCTGAAGGGTGGCGGTAAATAATTTTGGCGAGATGATGCCGCCTTGCCTAACTCCTCTTTTGACATCAATGTTAATATCGTTGTAGAATGGCGATATCTTGGTTGTGAAATTTTTTTACAGCTCACGAAGAATATTTATGTACTGAGAAGGGACTCATTAACTAACCAGGGCTTCCATGACTGCTTCTGTCTCAGTTGAACCAAAGGCCTTCTGTAAATCGATGAACGTGGAACAGAGCAGTCTTTTGTACTCCCACGATACTTCAATGGGCCTTGCTATTGTGTGGATGTGGTCCATCGTACCAAATCCTTTTCGAAACCCTGCTTGCTCACATGACTGCCCTTCGTCCAGTGTTCTGTCAGTCCTGTTTAGGTTGACTCGAGTGGAAAGTTCGTAGACGACAGACAGCAAGTAGATTGGGGGGCGATAGTTGCCGATATCGTGTAGATCACCCTTCTTGAACAATAACACGGTTTCATGGTCTTCTACTGAGTAGGGACCTTGCATTCAGACAGGTAACGTGTGAAAAGCCGAGCCAGTGTGTTTACCAGGACTGGCGGAAGGTTCTTCAGGTGTTCTGATCCTATACTGTCCGGACCTGGTGCTGTTCGATTTCTCACCGACGAAATGGCATGTCGGATTTCGGAAGGGAGAACCGGTGGTACAACATATCGATCCTCCTTTATTTCATATGGCGGAAGGTGAACGTGGCTAGCTTCTGGGACTTCGGTTTTGGAATTTGCGGCTTTTTCTCCTTTCCCCGAGAAGCAGAATCTTGCACGAAGGAGACGGTAGTCTGATCCCGTGTAGAATTTTGGGACAACAGCGACATCGATTAGGCAAAACCTTCTATTTACTATGATGTGGTCTATTTCGTTAAGGTACCCTCCATTGGGATACTCCCACGTCCAGCGCCGAGGGTGGGGCCTCTGGAATTGCGAGTTACCATGGATTGCCTTGATCGCCATGACAAACTCAGATAGCCGCTCACCCTGCTCGTTCCATTCTAATCCGTGGGTTCCACTGTGACGTTATTCAGACCTTCTTCTTGGTCCAATCTTGGCGTTGAGATCTCCAATGATGACCTTGTGTGGTCTTCTCTGTCGAACTTCTCTGTCTCCAAGTCCATATAAAACGATTCGACTTCGTCTTCGTCATAGTTTGATGTTGGCGCGTAAACGACGAAGATTGTCAAAGCCGGATTTGACCCACGTCTTCTTAATCGTAAACGTTCGATTTGGGTTGTAAGTTGTTCGAATGAATCAATGTTCATGGACAAACTCGTGTTGACGAGAACGCCGACGCCGCCGACTCCTCTACTGTTGCATGTTCCCAGGAACAGTTCTTCTCCAGTGTCATAGACGGCATTGAAATCTGACGTCTTCTCGTCTCGGCCAGGCCGATAATGTCGTGCGTTATCCTTCTTATTTGCATGAGCAAGGGTTCTATCGCGGATTCGGTTCTACCAAGGACTCGGATGGAAGTATAGGTGCATTGTAGGTACAGATCGTCACCATAGTTCTTTGAAGTACTCGTCCTTCCCAACGCTACCGCATTGGGGGTCTTTCAGGGTCAGAAGAATGAAACCCGTTTTTTTTTACTGTGTTTAGCACTTTTGATACCCACGTATAGCTTGCTGGGCTCTGAACGTGGGGGCTGGGTGTACTCACGGGTAGCTTGCCAGGCTCTCCCAGAGTGGACGTGTAGATTATTTGTTGTAGGCGACTCCTAACCGCCTCCCATATACTTACGTGTCACTTGAGTGCAGGGTTTTGGCCGAATTGACTCGTAGAACACAATCCTCATAAGCGAGAACGCACCCACGCTCACATCAGCTCGAGATCCCTCATATGAAGGAGAACCGTGGTAGTGATAATAGTAGGTGGCGTTACTGACCAACCATCAAACAAGTTAATGCACGGATTACTGCTTGGTTCATTACGGCTTTTAAGGATATTTCTGAATATTTCGTTGCTTTCTCAATTTTTCCATAATTTTGCTTGCGTTTCGAATAAGTTTGATCCAATTCGGTCAACTGTTTGGGCCTGTAGATGCCTATGTCTCTGGTAGTGATATAACTTTTCTTAATAACTTTCTTTTGACTAATACATTGTTGTAGTTCCAAGAAAATTGCTGGAGATTCGTTTGCTAGTCACTGTTGATAGCTCCTGTTTACAAGATGGCGCTAAGGAATCTGCGAAGTCGAAATCAGAGTCCAAATCAAATGCTACACCAACAAGAACGTTGCGTTCAGCTCTCAGCTGTACTAGTCGGTAGTTGAAAGAGCTTCATCGTTCGAGGGTAGCTCAACATCTGTGATTTTTATCGCTGTTGCCCTTCCATCACCATTTTACCCTCTCTTTTCACCCTTCTTCCTTCGCAACTCATTCGCTTAGGTAGTAATATTGTTAAGGGGCACGTGTGGATCGGTGGTCGGAGGCGCACTGCAACACATACACACGCACACGCACGAGATCGATCCCCGCACCCCTGGGCCACCAAGCCCTCATTCCTTCCGGCGTCAGCAAATTGGTACCATACTTGCCTGGGAGGACAGCAGCACTGGCTCGTTACATCGACAGGCCATCGCGGGTCATTGTAAAGGCCAGATATGCATTTGATCACCTCCAAGCGATGCTTAATGAAGTAGTATGCATGACGCATCCCTCAGAGATTGATCAACTCCGAGAGTTTCATCCTTTATCCTTTTAAAGTCCCATGCTTTTGCTACTCCACCAAAAACATATTGCAGTTCTTCTCAATTCTCATGTAATCACTACATGTTGTTAACACAGCAACTGTATCTAATACTTACGTTGTTCAGGAGTGCTCTACTTCCCTGAATCGTCTTCCTTATTGCTAAAACAACCTTGTCATCGCCATCACATTCTTGCGCTGTAATCAGGTAAGTACTTACGCCGCTGTAGTTATAGTAATATTGTTACATGAACAGTGTTTCCTAATCAACTCCCATGCCCTCATAAACCTCCTACAGTGCATCATCGTCAGTGTAATTTATTTGGTCATACTACTACTCATTGAGCCACTGCACTTGTAATTTATTTTACATACATTTCTCGTGTCATTGAATTTCCGCGTAAACATTATATGTATAAACGGTTTAAATACCACGCTTGAGGAGGTTTCACTGCGGCACACAAGATTATACCAATAAAAGTTTCACGTGGCGAACTAAGGAAGCCGATCATTCCATCCACTGTTGGCGGACAGAGGACAAATCCGACCAACTACTATTCTATACTCCACTGGCCAACCTATACAAATAAATCCAGTAGTGAATGATTTATTGTTCACACCCATTTAATGTCTATATTTTGTGAATATTCGTATGACTTCCTGTCAATAGAAAAACTACCAGGCCTCGGAAATAAATTTATTACGCAGGGCTACGATATGTCATACACCAGTTCCCACACGGTTCACTCCAACAAGCTTGCTTTCGAATCTGCGTGGCGCAGAAAACGACAGTGACGACCGCAGCTAGAGTACTGAGAAAGTAAATCGCAGAGCAGCATTGAGGATCTAATATGTTGAATTGTGGTCTTCTATTAAGTTCTTCTTTTTAAGACGAACTCACGACATCAAACTGTTTGTTAGACAAGTTTGAGTAGAAATAGAGGAACTGAAAAATACCTCAAAAGAACGCAACAACTGTCTTCATCACTACTGAATCTAACTAACTTCACAAGCTTTCTTTCTACGTGCCTCTGCTGCACCTCTGCGCTGCGCATGAAGAAAATCGCCATTTCCTATGGCATCCTTTATTTACCGCTTTTGATGAAATGAACCTTTAGATCGGTCGATTTTACTTTGCTGGGTTTACTTTTTACTGTTGTGTTGTAGTTGTTAGCCCACTTTTGCTAATTTCTTCCTCCGTATCCACCTCGACTGGAAGATTTTTTAACCTGGGTGTATTTCCAAAATATATAACACTTCTCCTAATTCTGTTTAGCTAATCACGAAGCTATTCTCTCTTATTACCAGTGTTAATCCTTACACTTCAGGCTATTTCAGTTCATATTGACTTTTTTATTGGTTTATTTCCAAATGTTTATACACAAGTTTAACTACCCAGGTCTGAAACAGTGTTTAAAAATATCTCTTAACAATCTTAAGACCTGTGTATCACTCGTGAACAAAGGCAGAGAATTCCCGCGCCACTACCATATCAAATGCTGATTGTTTCAGGACTCTCAATTAGGTGACATAGCCACGCAAACGACCCAGATAGAAATCAGCGTAAGAACACACACTGCACTTCCATGTTGCCTGTCAAGATAAGTTCACACTCGGTCGTCCTCGCGATGTGGGATCTTCGTCACCGTATTGAGTCGAGTCTTCTTTAGTGGACCACAGCTTGAATGAAGTAACCTCAATCGGTTGTGTCTTTATATACAGGACTGTTACTGACGATACTGATTGCCTGTTGATATTAATTTGTTTTAAATTGGCAATCCATCCGACAGCGTTCGGTATTAGATAAGCTTACATATACCGAAGTTATAATATTGCTAACCAACGTTCATTTAACTTCGGTAATGAATAATCAACAAGCAAATACTAATCGGAGATCACGCAACAGCGTATATTTTTACATCACTGGATGCTTAAAAATGTTTCGAAGACGGTACAAACAAAGTGACACCAGAACAAAATAACTTCGGATTCTAAAAGCCAAAAACTAGTCTGACGGCGGGAAATCGCATACAACGCCAGTGGTATCGAGTGCAGAATAAATAAATATATTTTTCAGAGGACGTCCACCTTCTGATAAAGCCTGAAAATAGGCATAAAATGGAAGTGACGAATACCTTATCTAATTGAAATAGAAATCCAGAGTAGCTTGGTGATAATATAGGCCACTGTCTACTTCGCGTAGAATACTCTCTAATCCTCTTCTAAAAATATACTGTACCTAATTGGCGACATTTCGTAGAGAACACTCCAGAAAATAGCAAATGTTCTCTAACCATCCACAAACTTGAAGCTAAACTGTGGTTTTGTTGAGCTATCTAGATCATATTTCCTTGTGCAAGCTTTCAAATCTTATTTATTATAACCGTCTTAGCCTGATGTGCTTTCGCGTACTGAACGAGCTCCTCATAGTGCATTGGGTAGGAAAACCCGAGTATACACAGTGCTCTCTGCATCCAACCCAGAGATAACAGAAGCAGCAGTCATCCTTCCATTCGCTTAGGCACTGTTCATACAGTCCTCATCTAGTTCTTGTTTCATTAATTCGTGCACTAGAACTTAACATCTGTGCTCGTAAGTCAGACAAAAGGGTATTAGCAACTATACTATGTCATAGACACACAGTTTTACCTCACTGATGTATGGAAACTACTCTTTCCTTGTGTAAACTTAACAGGTTAACCTCATTTTAGTGCTATTGTTTCTACGCAACCGTTTAATTAGCGTTTGAGACTTGAACTGCAGCATCCACAAGTGCTAAATCCTTGAGGGACAAGCATTATCCAATGAGCACAGCAATAGCGATAATACATTTTTACAAAATAACAGTGATAAACTCGAATTCTTAGATTAGCAGTGAAAAAGTATTTACAATAATTATTGCCGAGTGAAACATCAAACATACCTTAACCGCTTCCTGACCAACAAAACCACCAACTATCGAGCAGACTGGTGAGTTTTGAGGTCCGAAGAAGCTGCAAAAAGAAAAAGATTAACATGAAAGGATTAATCGCCCTCAATAGAAGTTCATAAATAGCAAACTTTTCGAACAAACAACTTACTAATCAAATTCTTCGGGTTTCACTGACTGTTTATCAACATCGTGATTACCCAGCAACACCTGCAATGGGAAAATCCAGAACACGTGAAAAAATCTCGAACTCCTTATTGTCAAATTACCTCTTCACACCACAATTTGGTGAGGATATTCACATCCACGTCCTCGTTCTCCGTCAATATCTTCTCCTTCTGTGCACGAAGCATTGCTAAATCCAACGGCTTTTTTTTGGTGGATAAAAAAATGTTTCGAAAAAATCACCTTTGAGCGGAAAATAACTACTAGGGATCAGTCGTTTGCTTTTGCGAATAAGATGCTTCCTTGACCAGTCAACATTAAAAGCCTCTTCGAAACGTGGATATTGCATCACCTACAGGCGAAATTAATTCGCATCAAATCAATAAATCGAAATGAATATAACAAATAGAAAAAGTACAGTTTGTTCTTCCATATTGCCTATAAAAGCATCAACGGTGCAAAGTTGCCGACATTTGATACCATTAATATTTATTCAGATACACATACGTCCACAAAAATCTTCAAGCGCTACAAGTTTGAAAAGTTAACAGACTTCGTACAACTGACTTCGTATTTGTTGAAGCGAACCGCTACCGACAAGCCCTAGTAATAATTATTAGAAAAAAGCTGTAGTCTTCATGTTTGGCAAAAAGCGCTACCTATCTTATCGTCTGTGTATGAAGTCTGCCATGAATCTTTTTTTTTTCAACGATAAGAACAACAGCAAAGAATCAGCCACATACCAGTTCCTCTAACTGATTGTGCTCTGCATCAACATCTACAACTGTCTCGGAAGCCGAAGTGCCACCATCACCTTCGCCTACCCAATCTACTCTCTCTTTTTTTATAACAGCACTAAAATTCTCAAATATGCCTATTTTATATATAGCTTTGTACATAGTAACTTCTAAGATAGAGCTGTCATCCTTATACCTAACAAAACGATGGTTGTTGAAATCAAAGAAGGAGTACCCCATCCAGCCAAACACGCTGCACGCAATAAAGCTGAAAAAAATTGTGTAAAACTGACGAAAATGCTATAAACCTTGCGACAACAAACTATAGGCATGCACAACACACGTTGTGTACGATCATACATGGCTAAAGGAACTACGATCAATCGAGTGAAACTAAAACTATTTGAGTAAAATCTGAAGTTACGTAGTTCATTCAACTTTACTACGAAATATTCTCCGGCAGCGCTGGTAAGAAGAGTTCGGAGCGTTCAAAATCTAATCAAAAACACGACCTGTACCTATAACACACGGTCATCTCGCAAAAGTTTCCAAGATCGACTTTCTATTAACCTTGGCATTAGATTATAAATTCCTTTTCTTTCTCAGCAATCGAGGGGTTGTTAAACAGCATACGATTACTTCCAAACAATAACACACATACAACACAACCGTGTCTGACATTTCGGCAGAATCGCCTTCTTCAAAGCCTGGAAGTGTACACTAATACGCAACTTACTCGGTCAAACGCTTCAACAGCACAAGCGGAAAGATGAAAATCTCAGCAATAATTACAAGATCTACGCCTTCTCGAAAAACCAACTTTTTTATTTGCCTTCCACGTGTGAACTTAGGGCATTCCTCTCTGCCATTCACAGTAGGATTTTTTTTGCATTTACCCAAAAATCCTCGAGGAGCTCGCGCGTTGGTGTTTTAGGACCCCGTGCCAGGATAGCGACTTTTGCATCAATATCGTCTCCGCTATGCTTTTGTATCCTATGCGTCTCTAGCGACGTACGTTGCCTTACTTTTCGTTTGCCATCTAGGTCTAGGTGTCCATTTATACGGATAGTCAAAGGTCTGCCCGTTTCGCCAATATATTCATCTCCACGAGTACTACAAGAGATCAGGTATATCATACCTGAACTCATGCAGTCACCGTCCCTGCTTGAATGCATCGCTTGTTCATTCAGCAGCTCATGGCGCTCTTAAAGGAGTGCCTAAACTGCTCGATTTTCAGATGGTCTGGGAAATATTTCGCGAAAAAAAGGAAATTGGCAATGGAACAGCGACTGGCACCAAGCCTTGCCACTACGTTTATTTCTGAAGTAGAAGCCCCTGTTCTCGGTCTCCGGCCGCTACTCTACTGCAGGTGCATAGATGATTGTTTTGTTATCTTCTCTACGCTAAAGAAGATGGACAAATGCTTTGAATAATTGAAAGAGCAGTCTGAGTACATTAAGTTCCCCCGAAAAAAGCCGAAAGAAAACTGGATTCCGTTTCTAAACGTTCAAATAAACCTATCAAGTAGCGGTTACATGACAAAGTGGCACCGAAAGCCAAGTAATAAAAACATCCTGGTTCATTTCCTTTCTTCCCACCCTTCACATACAAAGAGGGCGCTTGGAATAAACATGTTTCGAACATTCATCTCTGTGTACATAAGTAGAGAACTAAAGGAAGAATCGCACGACTTGGCTCGGCAAATAGCCATCTCCAAAGGCTACGAAATAGTCACCTCATGAGATACGTTTAGAAGGAGAGCGACGCGCCCACGCGAAACACTTGGCCAAAAGAAAGTCCCGTTTATGTTGCCTTTTATAAGCGATGAAGTAAACGTAGCTATTAAACGATGCTTAAGAAGGGCAGGTCTAGAGGAATCGGTAGCGGTAGTTGAAATAACACCGACTACTCTACGTTGTCAATTAGTTCGTAACCGCCTGTATGACCGTCTATGTGAAACAACAAATTGCGTAATTTTCCCTTACGGCAGGGACGGTGAATGCATGAGTTCAGGTACGATATACCTGATCTCTTGTAATAATTGCGGAGATGAATATATTGGCGAAACGGACAGACCCTTGTGTATCCGTATAAAAGAACACCTAGATGGCAAACGAAAACTAAGACAAAGTACTCCACTAAGCACGCATAGGATACAAAAGCACAGCGGAGACGATTTTGAAGTAAAAGTCAATATCCTTGCACAGAAAACTAAAACAATAGCGCGAAAACTTCTTGAGGCTTTTTGGATAAATGCCAAGAATCCGAAGATGAACAGCAGGGAAGAATCCCCTGAGATAACACGTGATCTAGCCCCGTATCTCCGAATTGATTTTTGATGTGGGGTGGTGCAGTCTCCGACCATATGGGAGTCTGAGCGGCTGTTCTTCTTCGGTGGAAGGCAGGTGAAAAAAAAGCGGTGCGTTTTCCGAGAAGCCGGTAATCGTGTAATTATTGTTCAGATTTTAATCTTTCTGTTTGAGTTGTTGAAGCGTTTGACCTAGTATATAACATATCAGTGTACCCTTCCAGGCTCTGACGAAGGCGATTCTGCCGAAACGTCAGCTACGGTTGTTTTGTTTGTGTATTACTGTATGGAAGTACACGTATGCAGTTTAACAACCTCGCGATTGCTGAGAAAGAAAACGACGAATACATGGTCAGTTGCACCTGAATCCTCCAAAGAGGATCAGGTCATGGAGGAAAGAAGGATAAACTACGATATCATCAGATTGGTAGCGACGAAACGATGATGACAACTCAATGTCATCTCTGATACCGAAGAACAAATATTCCTGTGAAAAATGCGACAACAGTCGAGTCGGCAGCGTTGGTGTCCACGGCACAACACAACTTTGGCGACGAACATGGATTCATTCGAACAACTGACAAACCGAATCGAACTCACAAATCCAGAAGTGGCGCTCTCATTCCTGAACGTGGTAGTCTCCCAATGGAAGGTGGCATAGCAAAAAAAAACCAGACCATAGTAAATCGAAGGTTATGTTTAACCGATGTCGCTATCGTCCAAAAATTCTATTTGAGGCCGGATTATCGTCTCCTTCCGATAAAATTCCACTTTTCACGAAAAGGAGAGAATGCAACAACTTTAGGAAACGAAATGCCAAATCCAGCGTGAATCTGGATCTATTTAGATCGTTAGTTGGCTCTTAGGAAAATGTCCTTAGTTAGAAGCTCGACGAGGAGTACTACCGGCTCATTTAACACATTCATGTTAGCGCTAGGAAAGTTGAGAACTGAAAGGTCAACAACAGACACCTGTCTCCAGGAACACTAATGCCATAAGGTAAAATTGCACGAATTGTACGGAATCGTCAACTCATCTTGAAGTTGCAGAGCTGTGTAGAAAGCCGATAAAAGATTTCAAGGATGGAAGAGCGGTAGTAACGACAGAATTTGAAAAGACTGCGAAAATCATTTGCAACCACTTTTCCGGCAACTTCCCAAATTATCAGGCTGAGACGATCGTACTCCAAGACGGAACAGTCAGAGCTTCCATAAAAGCAATGGAAAAAACCATCCAACACTAAGCCTGTGATTTCAATAACCACGTCATCCTTCCCATATACGAAATTACAGATGGATTCATCGAGTCACCGACTCTCCTTTCCAGAAACCAACATGGTGTTTCGCCAGTGAATAACCGAAGAACATGTGGTAAGATTAGATGAGACCTGAACACGTACCTTCCGTCAGACGTAATCAAAATACTGGCTCGGCTCATCACATGTTTCCTGTCGAAATACAACGTTCCTAGTCCACATAAGAGCAACAGCTCCCTGTTATTAAACAAAAATGAAGACCCACACGACAGCGGGAAATATTGCCCAGTCTGCTTTCCGTGTGCCGTCTACAAGCTCTTCACTCAATTTATCCTCAACAGGACTGATAGAACACTAAACAAAGGACAGTTACGTGAGCAATCAGGATTTTTAAAGGGTTCAGTACAGTGGATCACTTCCATACGATAACTTCAATGAAGCATGACGAAAGCACAAGAGGCCGCTCTGTCTCCCATTCATCGACGCCGTGAAAGAAGCTGTAGGCCGCCAATATAAAAAACGCTCGTGAGTTACATACAAATCTCACAACAAGGATTTCATTATTTTATAAGCACATTAACACTGACTTAAAGAGGGAGATTCGGCAAGGCGATATGATCTCGCTAAAAATATTTACAGTTACCATGTCATGCAAAAATTAGAATGTGATATAGTTCTTGTAACACGACGAATTATTCAGGCAAAACGATATGTAGCCGACTTAGACGAATGTTGGTTTTCGACCAAATCTTAGAAAAACGATGTTCATGAGGAACGGATTTGTTTCTTATGCCTCATTCCCGAACAGAATGATTACCACCGAATGTTTCTGTGAATTTGAGTCCAGAAGTCAATATGATAGACGACCAAGTTCCGAGCTGAGCAGCAAGAAGTGAGCGCCTTATGGAGTTTTCAAGAGAAACCAAAAGGCAGCGTGCTCATAATCTTTTACAGGAACAGTAGATCGAAACAAAAGCAGAGTCTTCTCCACAGAAAATATTCCTTTCAGAAAAACCGAGATTTCGTTCAACACGAAAGTCGTCATTCAACATCTACCTCCCTTTTGAAAGAAGCCAACTTATTTCCAAACTGAGTGTTGCCAGCGTGAAGAAACGAAAAGGCGATCAACACGGTAAAACGAAAAGCTTCCAGTTCCATATAAAGAAGTCATCTTGCGAAAAATACGTAGCTGTTCTTCTAATCATCATGCGTATTCATAGTGCTCCACTACCGATCGAGAATCATATCTCTAGCACCTACGCTATAGAACAAAACTAGTCACTAAAAAGCTGCTATTTAAACACATTTCCTTTCCCAAAACAAAATTCCTGCCACAAACCGCGTTTGCCCCTTTTACGAAAAAGAGCTCAGCATTCTTATTCACGAAAACCATGCAGTATAAGATGGCCATAACCACATGTTATTTTCCAACAGACGAAAGTTGTGCAACAGAAAGAACGGGTTGTCTTCGAAGACGAACATAAATACTCTGAACGGACCGGAAAAGATCGGACTTCGCATAAATCGGAAGACCCAGTTCATGAAAAACCCATGGTGCGAAGGCGAAAAAATTCAATTGGATGGCTCTCTCATTGCAGAGACCACCTCGTACGTATACCTTCGGCAATCAATGATCATGCAAAACAACATGGAGGAACTAGATAGAAGGAGAGCAGCTTGTGCCGCATTCGGGCCTCTCAAAGAAGCCACCGACCAACTGAAGGACCCGAAAACCTGAGCTCGTTTCTTCGATTCTACGGTCCTCCCAGCGCTCTCTTATGCTGCAGAGACGTGAGTAGATACTTCAACCAGGTCAAGAATGCTTCGCACTACTCACAGAGCGCTTGAGCGACGTCTCCTGAAATATAATCGGCATTCTCAATATCTAACCGGAATATGAAGATCTGATCTTCGAAATCTGTCTCATTTTCTAGATCCAAGAAAGCACACAATGATAGCAAGACATAGATGGGCCGGCCACATAATGAGAAGAACAGACGACAGATGGAAGAAAAGAACAGTAGAGTGGACTCCATGAGAATGCAAACGTCGACTAAAACGGTGACCTGCACGTTGGGCGGGAGTTTTCGTAAACAGGGTTAATCAACTGTACTAGCAGCCTGCAGTTGTTTTACATATCACGGTATGAGACTCGCACGCGCTACCATGCTCAAACAAGACCGCCACCATGGACTACGATTGCGAGAGAAAGGAACGAATGGCATATATGCTAGGGTCCGTACAGCTCGCGAAGACGAACCGTCTAAGTATCCAAGTATCCAAATACTCTGTACAGCGGCGTACAGAGCAAGGCTTTTTTCGGAATATGCCTCGCAAAAAATCAAGTAAGCAAATATTAAAATTGCACAAGAAAATTTCGCATAAGAATAAAAAACCAAGAAAAAGAAAGAAATTTGTGTGGTTTATATTAGACGAAGTGCGAAGTACCTACTAGCCATATATAACCATGTCAGACACGGATCTCCCTCATATGTGGAGTCTCGAGCCGGTTAATCGCGAGGCTACGTCAGCACCCCAGGTGGCGGGTAGGGGGTTAATCGCATAACAATAGCCACCTTTGCTTCTCTGAGACGAAAGTGGTGATACAGGTGAACCATGTCAGACGTTATAGAGTGCCATTCAGGAACATCACCAAGCTATCACAATACAACCGGATATTGATGGGATACGTATTATTGCAAACGAACTAAAATAGGTCAAAGTGTACCTAATATTCAGACTACGACACATATCATTCCACATAACCACAATGTCATATGGATGATCGCATAAAACGACCATATTGAATTGCGAAAGAAAATCTGGGCTGACGTCTATGATACTAGACTCTACGACCTGGAAAAGGATGAACCAAACATACACAAATACGAAGGATAGAGTTGTCTACAAAACATAGTCAATGAATGTCCTACTAACCTCTAACTTCACCATTTCGTTAAGACGTCGGGCCTTGGTCAAAGACGCTTCCGCCCGCTGCAAAAAAAGAAGAAAACAAAAAGATTATTAACAGAACTAAATCTAAGAGTAAAAACAACCAACATTCTTGCCAACAGAGTCAATACTTAGCAAGAAATTGGCTGCTAGATCATTTTTTGTAACGCATTTATCGTCCATCAAAGTGAGTGAGCGAAGCCCAGTGAGCATAAGATTCTTGGTAACCTCTGCGCCTACCCCAGATAACCCGCACACTAGTGCACTGGCAGAATGCAACCTGAATAGAACTCCGCCTTATGCAATACATTGTTCAACAATAATGACCCAGTGCAACGAAACCATAGCCCTAAACAAACAAGAAACTCACTTCCTCTGTGCCTCTATTCCCCATAGTCGTATCTGGCGATCATAGACATCCACCTCGTCTTTACTTAATCCTACAGCATTGTCACCACAATTTCCGTTCTTCAACGGTGGGTTCGAACTATTCTCTGCTTGCATTCTTTAGCTATTTTCACAACCAACAGTCTAAATTATCAAAATAACGGAGATTCAAAAAAAACTGACGATAAAACCAGAACAACTCAAAACTCGGTGTCCACAACTACCCATGTTATAACTCCGGGCTGAAATTAAAACCACGTCAACAAAATGACAAGAACAGGAGTACGGCACAAGATTTAGGCACACAAGACAGCTGTAGATTTCTCCATTTGCGCTCCCCAGATCAATTCCACTGACGGGTGAGTGCTGATGGCAGCATTGGTGCAATGTGTAATACCCTACCCTCCGGAAAGGGTAATCGTGGTTCGATCAGGTCCAGGATCCACGTTTTGCTAATGTTTCAGCATCGTAACACCTATAGAGTTGTTCGGATTCAACAAGAATTCTTCCCGGTGAATCAAAACTTGGAAATCTCCTACTAAAAATAAGTAGCAGCAGTCCCTGTACGTAAACTATTTTACGGCATAATACACCACAAATACATTTCGTGCGATATTTCAGCACACGACTGGCGCCTTTCGAGAAAACAGAACAAATCTACGTTTTATCATGAAAAATTATCTCTGAGGAAAAACAAATCGGATATACGATCGTAGCAAAGAACAGTAGTATTACTTGGCTAATTACAGAATATTTATGAGTCTAGACTCGAAACCTAAACATACCAGAACCTGATCATTGACAATCGAAAACTTCATAGAAACGGCGAATGTCTGTACATTGTAGTACGTAGTACCTATACCCGATAGTGTTTCAGATTGAACGAATGGTGGTGATTAGGTAGGAAACGGAAACGATCATCAATAAGAACGGAAATAGAAAGGTTTGTTGATAAAGAAGGGATAGAAGGCCATTCAGATACGAGTGTCAGTCAATGTACACTCTAGAATAGAGTCGAATAATCTATGATGCTGTAACAACAATGTATCGTTACCGGGAGGAAGCTATCCAAACATCTAAATACAAACAACTGTTGAACACATATGAGCACCGCACGTCCATAATGACTCCTCTAACTGACTAAAGAGATTGCAACACTTTACATGATCGTAGAAAGAATGAGTCTCAACCAAGCGCCTGTGCATTGGCGATATTACCCCATGTTCCCACTGTTATTCCATCATGGAATCCTGAAGGAGAACTTAGTGCACTGGGCGAATTCACGTCTCGCTTCACAAGATTTGTAGGAGCCTGAACAATTGTCACTGCAGACAGGTTTTCAAACTCATACGTAAACAATGGCAACGACCTGTCTACTTACGAGACCGATGCAGAAATAATGGCACACTTTGGCACAATAAAATCTAGAAATCTGACTGGTAATAAATATCTCATACTTATGTTATTGCTAAGGCGCAGTGGTCAGAGGCGCCCTACAGCATATGAGATCGAGTGCCGCGCTTCTGGCCCATCAAGTTTTTCATCCCTACGGGGTCGGCAAACTGGTACTAGACATGTCTGGGAGGATAGCAGCACTGGCTCGATACATCGGTAGGCCACCGCAAGTCATTTTAAAGGGCAGATATGCATTCAATAACCTCCAGACGATGCTTAATGAAGTTGAATGCATGGCGCATCCCTTAGGGATTGGAGAGACAGCGATGACGTGAATGTCATCATCTACGATGGCATTCATAGATCCTACGTTATGTCTCCAAATAGACGGTGTACTAATTTACTAGTCCAAAATTCCCTTCTTAAAAGCATAAATGGAAGAATTTTGCCAAGTCGTTTTAATCTGGGCACTTCTTAACAAGAACTCAATTATGCCTACACAAGTTTGTACCAGTTAACTTTCTGTAACTATATAATGCTAACTGCATATATGGAAGACGTGCAGTAACCGTAACAAGTACTTATTTACCATTCCCGGTCTTGCCCATGTACAAATGAATCCTTCTTGACAAGCCGTAACCAAGCAGTCCCTTCGAAATTCAAGTACGGTTAAACGCTCGTGAGCTATTTTCTTACAGATCAAAGGCTCTGCAATAAACAATTCTAAAGGTGTGCCTCACATGACATAAAGGTAGAACTTCTAACGTACCAATAACCGGGATATCTTCCATTCGTGGACATACACGTGTACCAAGAAGCCTTGCCTCATCAAGTGCAGCAGATGCCATAGAACCAGGAGACTCCAATCGACGTCTTGAAAATGCTTACTTTTTTTTAGAGACGTGTATCCTTAGTACATAATATTGCTACAATATGGACAACGATTAAAGCGAACTATAAATAAAATTTCACCGATCACTGCCTGATCCACTCAGTCGACCTAAATTGAATCCTCGTCTATGAAAACCTTTCTTCTTTTTCGGTTTCGTGGTCTCTGCTGACTGCACAGGTGAAGCTTCACAAAGTGGGTCAAGTCGACTTGAAGAAGTCTACAACGTGGAATTAAAAAAGTAGTCCAAATGTTACAAATATTATAGAATGAAAAAAACGAATATTTTATAGAATGTTAAAGATTCACTTAGTACCTGAACTTCCAATCCTAACACCGGCGCTATAATGGTTGAATTACGATGACGTTGCACATTAGCAGGCTAAAAATTTATAAAAAAACAACTTAAACGTCGCAAAGCAGCACAAATTGACTTTTAGTGATAGAATCCTTGGTCAATAATTAAAAACATCGAAAAGCTTTAAATTCAAAGCTATGATTTACTTGGATGACAAAATCAAAAAGCTACTGGTGTTGATGAATGGCAGAGGGATAAGCATCGTTTGGAGAAGACTGAATGCAAATATGGCGTTTACAATAACTCGCAGTGATCAACCGACGTATTAGGCCAGTAGTGTTATCCTGCCAGAGACGTCTGATACCAATTTGCCAACCCCGGAGGGATGGAAGGCTTGGTGGGCCAGAGGCGCAGATATCGAACGTATTGCAGGATGCCTCCGACCACTGCGCTACACAAGCTCCTTACTTGGGATATAGAGGAACGGAATGAAATAAGTTCTCGGAGATTAGTCCATAGATTATGCTTCATTGACAAACGCACAGCATTACCGTGCACAAAACTATTTACTCTTTCCCAATAGTCTGTATGGAATATGGAACTAATAACCGCATTACGGACAAGTAATAGGCGTCTTGAAACTTAGAAACTGCATAAATTATTAAATGTACCTTAAGCATGTCCTCGGTTATGTCCCAAAGACACAGCTGTGTATCGTGACCAACACTGCCAATACGGTAACAAAGACCACCGCTGCCCTAAACTTTACTCAGTTGCATCACATACGTTGAACTCAAACTAAATAAGGCGTACACTTTCAAATGCTTTCCTCAAAAAAACGAAGGCGTGAATTTTTTCAAATAGTGAAAATAATATGGAACTCATAACGAACATGGCTAGTCCCATTAATGGTGCCAAACGATGCAAAGGAACACCGTGAAATGGAAGATCCTTGTAAATGAGATTTGCGCATATTAGCTGAAACACTATGGCGTGGAGTTCAAATTATAATTCTAAAGAGATTTCAGACTTATTAAAAAAGCCAAAAAATACCTTTTACGACTGTGGTGTTAGCACTGCTATTCTGTCCATTTTGCACACCTCCATGAGCATGGAAAGACTTCTCGTCGTCGGAACCAACATCTAATGCTCCGAATCCATTTATCTCGTTATCGTTATCAAGGGAACACATATAGGGATCAAACTGCACCTGAAAACCACTTAATACATAAAGCCCTGTTTCATTTGTTATCCGACACGCTAAGGACGCAAAATCAACACGGACAGAGAATGATACAGAATAAAATCACACTAGAGATAATAAAGGATAAAGAATAAATCTCTCGGCATTGATCAATATGTGAGGGATGCGACATGCATTCGACTTCACCAAGGATCGTTGAAAGAGACTGAATGCATATCTGGCCTTTGCAATGAGTCGCGGTGGTCTACCGGTCTATCGAGCCAATGCTGCTATGGTCCCAGACCCAGACAAGTCTGGCACCATTTGCCGACCACGTAGGGATGGAAGACTTGGTGAGCCTTGAGCGTGGAGAACGATCCCATGTGTATTGCAAGGCTCCTTCAACCACTACGCTACACAAGCCCCTACACTAGAGATATCACTGCAAAATTATAGTATGAATGTTTCTTATGAAAAGGGAAGAAGACCCCATCACTGACGCAATAATGCCCAGTTTAGACTCAAATAACATAATATGTTAAGAAAGAAACTTAATAATATGCCCTATCACTTGAACGAAACCCTGTAGGAGGAATATAATACCACCATCTGCGGACATACAACATCCATAAAAATGGTGGTCACGTGGTTACACCAATCCACAACTGTTGATAAAGATGACAAAGATTTGAATTTTCAGTGAAAGACCTAGAGCGACAGCATCCTTAATCACCGGTATCACATGCTAATTCATCAGTCATCCAGTAACTCAAACGTACACGAGAAAGCCTCTATTATAAACAGTAAAACACACTTTTAGCACATGGCCAGTCATCTCCTACGTTTTCAATGATAACGTACTCACTGGTAGCTCGCTTGAGTCTGCTGTGATATGTGCGCGTGAATGGGATTAAACACGAAATTCTTTAGTCTGGTAGACCCCTTAGGAGAAGAATTCACCGTTGTACATGGCAAATCAAGTGTGCCAACACGGAAACATCTCCCAGTCTTGATGAAGCGGTGAATAATTGGAAAAGGTCTATATAACACGCCTAGTATATTGACGTTTACTAAAAAATTTTATTTTGAAATATCTACCTGAGAAATCCAACTCTTGTGTCCTTGACCACGACAAACTACGCGCTTCTCGTTAACGTTATAAATTGTGAGTAAGTCATCTTCGCCACCAGTCACGATTAATTTCGAATCAGGACTCCATGCAAGTGTGAGAAGACCACCTATATGTTGAAAAAAGTGCATACAGTCAATAAAATGAGAAGAACACAGAAAGCAAAGGAAATACCAAAATACGATTTCATATAAGAAAGCAACTCCATCTGATGATAGTTGAATATCCGTAGGTAACCATCCTTAAACAAAACCGATTGTTATACCACAACTAAATGTCTCATGAAAACCTTACATGTCCCACTGTAGCCAGCATTTTCGCATCTGGTCCAGAAAAGGCAAACTGGTTGATACTGCCCTCGCCGATTTGCCAGCGATATACAGGATTTCTTGTGGTTTTTGCCTTGCACATGAACACAGTGTATTTTTCACCCTAAAAAAGGAAAGTCTGGAGTTATGCTACCACAAGCATCCTTTTCGAAAGAAACTCATAAACAAACGAACTTGTTAGAAAATTTAAATCTATTACTAGATAATTATCATCTAAATCCCACTTTCACATAATATGAGCCCTAGCACACGCTGCCTGGGGATTCGTTATATCGCATTTTGCTTTGAGATTTCTGAGCTACAACGTCACATCCACAATAAAGAAAATGGCCCACGTTGTCGATTCAAACAATTATTCTTCGTTCAAATATAACCCTCCGTACATTATTCTCCTGGGTGATAGGAGCTGCTGATAGCATTGACAGAGTAGTAACATAATTGAGAGAAATAAAAAAGAAAGGGAATCGGTCGGTGTGGTGCATAGCACTTGAGCCTGCAGTTATGGCAATTAGGGTAATCATAGGTTCAAAGCCCTCCTGTTGTTCCGAATTTTTCTCGAATCCTATAAAGACGTTAAATTCAAAACTAAACGCCTGCACGAAAATTGGAACTTTCACTGAATTGATGTTCCTACGTCGTATCGCACATGTACATAGGATTTAGAAGGTAACCAAGCTCACATCCTAAGGAAGAATAATATAGTGGCATTCCATGGGGATGTTCCGAGTTTAGGGGTGCGTGTGGCGCACTAATTGGAGGCGCCCTGCAGCACACACGTGGAGTCGGTCCCTCCGCCCATGGCCCACCAAGCCTTCCATCCTTCCGGGGTCGGCAAATTAGTGCCAAACTTGTCTGGGAGGATAGCAGCACTGGCTCGATACATCGGTAAGCCATCGCGAGTCATTGTAAAGGCCAGATATTCATTCAGTCACCTCCAAACGCTGCTTAACGAAGTCAAATGCATGGCGCATACCACAGGGATTGAACAACGCCGAGAGCTATATCCTTCCTATCCTTATGTGGCATTCGTTTCCATTTTTCTTAACAGATGCTGTGTATAGAGCCAATAAAACACGGCTTTTCAATTAGACCACACTGATCCGAAGTATGCGATTCCTAACAACACTCATAAAAACTCTCTAGAAATTAACAAACAAACTAAGTTGAATTTTGCATCATCCGGTCAAAGGCTGTGATGTTCATAGTTCCCAACTGTACAGTGGAACACCTATTCCAAGAACATATCGTTAAAAACGAGGTACGAGGTAAAACGAGGTAAAATGGAGGTTCCTAGTGGTAACACCAGACATAAAATAACATTCTTGCAAAATATTTTTGATAAAAAACCAATCATGTTTTCGTTGTGTCAAAAATGATACAAATAAAAGTAGGAATAAACGAGTAAGTCGGAGAGAGAGAGAAAGAGTGACAGGGCGAGGGGAGAAAAGAGGAAGATGAGGAGCAACATGAACCAACTATATAACAGAGTAGTGATTCACCCGAAATCTGACTACGAAGGTTGTAGTAAAGGTGGAACCTTGATAATTTTACAAAATGACCGGCATTAAAAACTAACGAAGACAGAATGGATTCACCGTATAACAAAGTGTGTCGTAGAGGTATAACGAGGACAGCGTAGGTTTCGAAATAAAATAAGAATGGGAATAACCTACTTGAAAATGAAGAGTAAACTTTGTTCTATCTCAACAGTACCTGCTTAAAAGCGTGATATACCGGTGGAGCTAAAGGACATTGCAACTCTTCATTATAAAGGTACATATATCCACTAGTGTATGAAACTAGAAAGTGGTGCCGTTGACCTGAATATCTATACAATAATGTATAAGAATCATAGCCATAGGAGAAACTAGGATTCGCTGAAAATGAACGGAAACCGCGCAGAAATTATGGAGTAATAGTGACGAAAACAAACAAAAATATAAATGTAACGAACCGGGTACCCATCGCAGACAAGTTACGCCAGTCTTGTCAATAAATCTCTCTTCGTTATAGAGACGACTCGCTTGATATTCTTTATGAAGTGGGTCAATCAATTGGATTTGACCAGCAGAGAATCCAATTATAAGACTGGAAAGATTTCAGTGTACTACAACAATAACAGAAATAGCAGTGTTCACCCTTTATTTGCTGCCTACTATAATTTTTCACAGCATGGTATGATGTGAAATACAACCACAGTGATGTTGAGATATTCGCAAAACTTGGACCCCTCGCCAGATTGAACCACGACTGCCCCTTCCAGGGGCTCTCGTATCACACACTGCACCACCGAGGCCATTGCTTTGCGTTTCTTTCAACTACTTTTATACCTAACGCTGCCATCAGCAATCACCCATCAGCGGGATTGACTTCAAATACTTGTTATTCAAAAACAAGGAGATCCAACATACCTACAGCTTGTACTTGTAGCAGTCTCTTGATTGAAATGATGACAAGTAGGATAAGTACCTTTGTAAACACGTTTATCAATTGGCTTACTTAGATCAGCAGCCGTGTGAATACCCCTGAAATTGATCACAAGAAGAATTCGCAGCCGAATTATGACTTGTAAACTCAGTCAACTTCGTAAATTTATAAGGCTTATGAAAAACCGACATCACTTATACATAAACTGACAACAGTAAACTCACTTATACAAATAAACGTAAAGCTCCCGCCCAACATTGAAACAAATTCTGTCAGCAGCAGCTAATTCTTCACGGCAATTCTCATCAAAGTCTAAGGCATCGTGTTCCTGAAAAACATGTCTGCCAAGTATTTGGAAACAGTGTTAACAGCTTTTCAAATTAAAACATTTGGCTTGATTTATTCCTATAACAAAAACCTAAAAGGACGAACACTGGTGTTTGCGATAGAAAAACACTCTCAAAAAGCAAGAAAAGAAGAAAAAATGACAAAGCATACTTCAAGAAATGTGAACCAGATTGCCTGGTTGTCATTTTTGCACACCTATCACCAGGATATGTTTCACCAACAAAATACCCTTTTCCCTTGTTAAAAGCAGACCGAGAAAAAAGAAAACAAGATTACTGAAATAAGAATTTACTAGGAGTAGCCTATTCGCTAAAACATTTCTTTTTACAAACGGGGAAATGGGTAACAAAAAAGCAACGAGGGTAATAAAATAAGAAATTATCAAGGGGCAGTCCATTTCCCAAAACTTTCCCTTTCCAAATGGTCAGATATGTAAAAACTCCGTGATACGGAATCATCTCAATGTTAAGATGCAAATTTCCCAAGACCTGTATCATCTGTATCACCTGTAGTCCCGCTGATCGTCGAGTGACTTGAGCGGGCGCCAGCAAGTCTTCCATTTTTCCCTGCCGCGTGCAAGAGTAGCCCAGTGGGTTCCGCTCGCTCTAGGGACTCAGCGAGCATCATATCTTTCTTCTAGGCTTTTCGTGAGGAACTCTGACCATCGGGACGGCGGTCTTTTTGCAGTACGTTTGACATCCCGAGGAATCCAATCACTAACGGCTCTTGTCCATCAGTTATCGTTCACAGGCATTACGGGTCCGGCACATCTTATCTTCGACTGTTTGGCGTACAAAACGGGATCATTGATTCTTGATCGTTGACAAAGATAGGAGCCTCTGATCCCTTCCCTTACTTGCTTAACACGGGATACTCCTAGCATCGTCCTTTCGACTGCGCGTTCGACAACGCTGAGTGATCTTTCACCCTGCTTACGCAGCGACCAGGTTTCTGACGCATACGCTAGGGTTGGAAGTACCGCTGAGTCGAAAAGGTGGGCACGAAGTCTGGTGTTGTTTGTCCTCTTCACAACATCCTCGCTGCTCTTAAAAGCTCCCCAAGCCGCTCATTTCCTTCTGCTCAGCTCTGGAGCTAATTCGTTCATCATATTGATTTCCCGATCTAAATAGACATAACTGGAGCATTCGGAGATATTCGTTCCGTTGAGCGTGAATGGTGCATACGAAACAAATCCCTTCTTCATGAACATTGTTTCTGTGAGATTTAGTTGAAGACCAATCTTTCCACAGGCTTCATTAAAGCATATGTTCCGCTTGGCCAATGTTTGGTGTTATAAGGACGATGTCATCAGTAAAGCGAAGATGATGTAACTCCCGATCATCGATTTTCACTCCCATATTATCTCATTCCAATGTTCGCATTACGTTCTGAAGGGTGGCGGTAAATAATTTTGGCGAGATGGTATCGTCTTGCCTAACTCCTCTTTTGACATCGATGTTAATACCGGTGCAGAATTGTGATATCTTGGTTGTGAAATTCTTTATGTATTGAGTAGGGACTCCTTGACTATCAAGGGCTACCATGACTGCTTCTATCTCAATTGAACCAAAGACATTCTGTAAATCGATGAAAGTGAGACAGAGCGGTCTTTTGTACCCTCGCGATACTTCAATGAGCCTTGTTATCGTGTGGATGTGGTCCATCGTACTAAATCCTTTTCGAAACCCTGCTTGCTTACATGGCTGTTCTTCGTCCAGTGTTCTGTCAATCCTGTTTAGGATGACTCGAGTGAAAAGCTTGTAGACGACAGACAGCAAGTAGATTGGGGGGCGATAGTTGCCGATATCGTGTAGGTCACCCTTCTTGAGCAATAACATGGTCTTGCTGGTCTTCCACCGAGTGAGGACCTTGCATCCATACTGGTAATGTGTGAAAAGCCGAACCAGTGTGTTTACCAGAACTGGCGGAAGGTTCTTCAGGTGTTCTGGTTTTACTCTATCAGAAACTGGTGCTGTTCGATTTTTCACGGACGAAATGGCATGCCGGCAACATATCCATCCTTCTTTATTTCGTATGACAGGAGGTGGACGTGGCTATTGAAGAGATCCGAGTACTATTTGAGAATGATTTTCTCCATTGCCTTTCTGGACGCTGTAACTGTTCCGTCTGGTTCCAGAACATAAGAGGAAATAAATGAGATGGCAACTATAACGTTATTCTATGTAAAATTTAATGTCTATAACAAGTAGATGTTCGCGTTTGCTATAAATCTTTTAACTGACAAAAACATGAAGTTCCATCTTTAATGTGTTTTCCGATGAGTGATAAATTACGATAAGAATACGTTAGCGATGAAAATTCGATGGAATACTAGCTAATTTGAGTTGGCCAGGGTAAACCGCTTATTTCGCGATGAAACTCCTAATTTTCTCAGAGAAAGAGTCAGACCTCACTTCGAATACGCTACGATGGCCTTATAGGAGAAACATTAGGCACATCGAGTGAGCACTGAGCAACATTCGGCGCAAACGATGGTTTTAAGTAATGTGTCGAAAATAAAAGTCAGATGAAAACAGCAGAAGAAGCAAAAAAAGGTACTGATCATTGTAAAATCAGCCGGCAGATAATGCAAACTCGAATCGCAACATTTATGACCGATCAATACCAGAGAGATACCGAGATTAAGAGGACATCGAGTTTCTAGTTGAGCTCTCAATTATATAACCTCGTGCTGTGCATAAGAACATCTGAATAAGATGGCAAGTGACCTATGATTCATGCAGACACGGAAATAGTGTGAGCATCATAGTACCATAATTTCTAAGAAAGTAGTTAACAAACATGTTACTAACCTCCGATCTAAGTGACGGCGATTTCCTTCCACTAAGCAACGATAAGAAAGAGACTCGAACTGGAGCACAGGCAACATTTGCTGCACCTGGCTGCATCTGCACAGACGACTTAGACACAAGAACAGATTCGATAATTTTGTATATATATATATGTGTGCATATACAGCATATACACATATATATGTATATATATATAATGTATAAAAAGTACAGGAAAGTGATCACCAATAAAAAGTACCTGATTCATTGGAATCCTGTTCGGACGCGAATATTCTGCCATAGTCATCAACTTGTACGTACCTTCCCTAACCGTAAAATGTGTTTTGAGTTCTTCTTTCGGTTGATTCAACGCGTGATTCAAAAGAGCCCCTGGAATTCAGTTTTCTTTAAAACTATCAACACTGAAACGTTGCCAAATTATTTGAACCACTGATTTTGTTCAGCTGATGCGAGATTGATATAAGCTGTCATTGCTGTTGTTGTTCACGGCTCTGAGGAAGGCGAAATCGCCGAAACGTCAGCCATCGACCAACAACAACAACGACAACAACAGCGAAAACAACCAATAACAGCAAAAACGACAACAACGAAACCACAACAACGTCGACAACAATGGCGACAATGACAACGACAACAATCACAACAACGACAGCTTATACCAACCTTGCATCAGCTCAACAAGATCAGTTCGTAAGAATATAAAAATAAATATATAGGTTATATATGATGAGGTTTATAAAAAACCGGTCTTTTGAGCCACTTAACTCACATTCGAAACGCATAAAGACGTATTGAAACACGTTACTATCACAGACCGTCGAACATATGTTAAGAATAAAACAAAAAATAGGCTTTGTAAATAAGCTAAAGAGTATACGTCCAGTGAGCCAAAGGATCTTAAAACATATCGCGTTTTCCCACGGGAGACTTTTTTGAGCGCCATAAAACACGACCAACATGAAAAACACACATAGAAGGAGATATGGCATATTTTAATACTTAGCCAGTAATACCTTCACTGAGAGCAGCAACCGTTTGCAATCCACTAGTGCTCCCAAGAGTCGATGATGGCCCCAATAAGTGATTGTGCATCATCATAACTAAACGAAACAATCATTTTAAGAGAAACAATATAACTCACCTTTTCAAATTCCTTTTTCCTATGCACAAATCTATTTCGCTGTTAAACCCTTAATTTGCAAAAGCACGTCCTCTACATCGGACTAAAATACACAGCATCTATCAACCGTTGGTTTAGCAAGCCATGGCTGCCATCTCTTAAGAACAGTAAAAAGAAAGGGTAAAAAGAAATTCGTAATATTACTGTCTTCACGAAAGCAAATCAGAATTCTCAGAACTGCAATGGAAAGCAAAACACAATCTTTAGCACTGGAATGGAAGGAGAACATGTACGAGCAGACACAAACGCTTTTTATTAACTGCTTATTCTTTTCCCATGGCACGGTTTGTAGTGAAATATATCAACGATGTCGAGATATTTACAAAACTCAGGACCGCCGGTTTCTGCGCTGAGGATCGAACCCGTCATGATTACTTTAGTAGTGGCGTTCGAATCACAAAAGGTTAGGGAATTGACTAACATTTCTCTATAAAATAGAAGGGAAAACACAACGAATCCTATCCTATAAACTTCGAAGTTCACTATAATAGAAATGGATCCATCTCAACAAAACTGCTAACTTAAATGCTGATAGCACCTATAAAATAAAAAGGATAAATCTCTCGGCGTTGATCAATCCCTGAGAGATGCGCCACGCATTCGACTTCATTAAACATCGTTTGGAGGTGATTGAATGCATACAAAGCCTTAAAAATGACTCGCGGTGGCCTACCGATGTACCGAGCCAGTACTGCTATCCTCCCAGACAAGTCTGATACCAATTTGCCGACTCCAGAGGAATGGAAAGCCTTGTGGGACATGGACGCGGAGATCGATTCCATGTGTATGCTGCAGCGCACCTCCGGCTACTCCGCAAGATGCCCCTATAGCATCTATAGGTCAGTAAAATATCTGAGAGAAAGGCGACGCGGACTCACATGATGTGGTGGTGAAGGCGTTATCCCCCCGAAAGGGCAATATAGGGTTCGATCCCCGCCAAAGACACCTGCGGTCTGGAGTTGTGCAGATATCTCAGCATCATTGTGTTTAATTCCTTCATCGTTTACTTCACTGCAGTTATATTTCACATCGTACCCTGCCATTAAAAAGCACAGGTAGTAAATAAAAAATGACTAGGACATGAACTCACTTAACGATTCTTCTCTGATACGACGTCATTCCGCATCTCAAAAAAATCCCATAGTACAGATATAGAGATGACTTGTCGATGCGAATCTCCCTACGGCAGTACTGGACCGGACTCGTGCAGGACCACAGAAACGGCAGTTTTGGCGACCGCACCGCTGCTCAGGCAAGTGGCCACGGGGCGCGCTCATTCTGAGGCGGTCCACTTTCCTGGCGATGCGAAATTCTCAGGAGAGGGATTATGTTTGTAGAGCTTCATAGCATAAATGCTTTACAACATTTACTAGAACGCTAAGAGCTGACAATTAAATGCTATAGTCATTATGATGCTGAGGTTTTTGCAAAACTTGGACCCCAGGACAGATTCCAACCTGTGATTAGTCTTCCCAGGGGCTCACGTATTACCCACTTCAGCACTGAGGCGCTCGTTCTACCTTTCTCCAAGGCAGTCTTTTTGCTCTAACGGGCGATCAGCAATCAGCGGGAATGATCTGGGGCGCCTCGGGAATCTGAGGAAATTGGCACTGAACCCAATTAAGCTAAGGCCGTAGTCGAAATCACAGTGTTAATTGTAAACCGAAAAACCTTTAACCTAACCTTGGTATAAATGATCAATCTACCTTGTTTCTTTGATAAGCTAACACGAGGTTGTTACCACTATTTATTCGGCTAACGTTTCGACGTCTTCGTCTTCTTCAGAGCCGATGATTAGAGTCAATGTCCACAGTCGACCTTGTGCCTAAAAATGATACCGACTCCTGCAGGCTGATTTTCCGGAAAAACAAGTCAATATCACCGGACACTCACGACAATTAGTAAGAAAAATCCTGTATATAAAGGCTTCTCCGAATGAGTATGCCTCATTCGAGAGATGGTCCAGTAAAGGAGATCCGGCTAGATGTGCGACGAAAACACCACATCGAGAACACGAACGATTGTGAACGTCGACGGAGATCATCCGCTTTGAGAAAGACGAGGATGCCGGGAAGTTGGCCGAATAAATATTAGTGACAACCTCGTGTTAGCTTATCAATGAAACGAGGTACATTGATCATTTATACCAAGGTTAAATAGAAGTCGGTTTACAATTAATATTGTGATTTCGACTACATCCTCAGCTTGACTGTGTTCAATGCCTATTTCCCCAGATCTCCGAGGCTCTCCAGAGAACTTCCGTTGATGGGTGATTGCTGATGGTCCTGCTAGAGCAAAAAGACTGTAGCTTTTATCTACTGCCTACTATGTTTTCGCGGCAGGGTACTATGTGAAATGTAACTACAGTGAACCTGCGATATGGCACCGTTAGGGTAAACAAATTGACTGAGTGGAAGGCAGAATGATAGCGTCGGCGGTGCAGTGCGTAACACGTGAGTCTCCGGAAAGGCTAATTATGGCCTGGGGTCCAAGTTTTGCAAATATCTCAGCGCATCGTAGTGGTTGTGTTTCACATTTTACCATGACATGACAAATAGTAATAGGCAGTAAATAAAAAGTAAACATTAAGTGCTTTGCTGTTGTAACTCGAAGCGCTTTGTTAAAAATGAACTGATGGTGTGGCAATTAAGGAATTCCATTAATTACCGGGATAACACAATCTTTTCTCCCATCAAAGGATTCGAAATTAAGGGTCATACCAAAATTGTGAGCTTATTCGTGTTCCTTGGATGACTGAATGTCTCTTGAATAGTTAATTGCATGAGAAATAATAAAGGATAAAGCTCTGGGCGTGGATCAATCCCTGAGAGATACGCCATGCATTAAACTTCATCAAGCCTCTTGGAGATGATTGATTGCATATCTGGCCTATACAACATTTCACGGGGGCCAACCGATGTATCGAACCAGTGCTGCTATCGTCCCGGACAGGTTTGATAATAATCTATCGAGCCTGGAGAGATGAAAGACTTGGAAAGGTTGTGGGCCTGGAAAGCGGGATAGATCCCATGTGTACTGCAGTGCGCCTTCAGTTACTACGCTACACGCATCAGCTATTTATTTACCTAGGGAAGTGAAACATTACATCCGAATTGGCCTCCTGTCTGCTCCGCAATATAGTGTCACAGGTGGTTTGCCACTTTTCTCATTTTTTGTCACTCACTGAGAATTAGAACAATCAATGTCTGGAAGAAACTACATGGTGAACATGGTTTTCATGAAAAAAACTATGGTTCCAAATTACAATTTTGTAGTGTGTTGGGATATGTAACTACTTAAAGATAAAGGATAGAGCGTTCAGAGTTGATCAATCGCTCAGGAATGCGCCAAATATTCCACTTCATCTTATATCGTAAACTTGATTAAGAGCATATTTACCCTATTAAATGAACGACGGTGAGCTACGATGCAACAAATCTGTGGTGCTATCCTCGCCGCCAAGCGCGCTACTAATTTGTCGACTCTGGAGAGATGGAAAGCTTGGTGAGCCAGGAACGTTGTGTAGAAACGGCAACCGACCTAGTGTTTATGGCAAGGCATCGTCATCCAATACGCTACACATACCTCTTCGTTTGAAGATAACTACTGATTAGCTCAATATCGGCCGTTCTGCCGAACACTGGACCAATTATCGTCATAATTTACAAAATTGTAGAAAAAAGAGAAAAAACGACCTTACTTCACGAATGGACGCACTTAGATGGCCTGTCTTCACTGTTGTGCGGGCCCCAGCATCATTTCCATTCTCCAGAGATATGCTGGTTTAGCCATTGTGGTTCTTGTGGATCAGATTTGCCACCATGAAACTAGTTTGGTACCAGGACGGTTACAGACCCTGGTATTGGTTTACTTTTATCTGGGCTTCCTAATGGAAACGTCGAACTCCTTCTCAGGCTGGGATACCCCGCTAGTGGATGAATTCCCTTGCTGTTCATCGCAGCCCGACACCCAAGAACACCTCTCAGCCAGAATGAGGCGGTAAACCGTTGGGAGGGAATTCCATTCGACAGAACGAAACCACTAGAATTCCAATCTCAGGATATTACGCAACATATCATTAGTCAACACCAGTACAATCGTACTTGAAACAACAAGACCATTCTGGATAACATCGACCATGCCAGTAAACAACAAATTAAGTGCACCAGTCCTTTCATTGGTAATTTCTTTACCTATACGAGCTCCAATATAACTCTCATATTCGATATGTGCAAAAATCGCAAGGAATATGATTGAAAAAGATTTATTCATTTGCTTACTATGACCTGACACAGACCGTGTAGCTGAGGAGTTAGTCGATCGAGCCGTGATAACATTGTCAACTCTGACTTACAGCAAAGACATTCCAGTATATAAAATACTAGTTCAACAGTAACAAATAGTAAAATCAAGGATGAAACTAACAAACCAAATATAACAAAAACTCATTTTGTATCTACATAGATGTTCCAACATAAAATAGAAATGAAATAAACCGACGACAGGATAAAAATTCAAGCTCTGAACAATATGTACAGTAATAAATCAATACGATTAATAGAAGAGAAACAACCGTAAACGCTCAAGTCTCTAAATTATAAGAACGTACTGGTTTATGGATTCAGATGGTGACTTGACGGACAACATCGACAACATCACGTTCAAAGGACATCCCCACCATGGAGGACGGTCGTGTAAGAGGGGAGCGAATGGAAATTATGCTGAGGCGCGCGCCACTAGTGAAGAAGCGCCATCCAAGTATCCTGACTTACAGAGAAAGAGCAAAATAGATAACAGCAAAAAATCATCTGTTGGGGTTGTAGATCTTCTTCTTGACACGAGTGATACGCCATGCATTTGCATCCGCATATTTGTCGAAAAGAGGATCGATCTTCTGATTCTTTTTAAATGTGGATAGCTTCGTAGAGTCGCCCATTTTGAAGAATGACGGCGCGAATTCCACCAACCATCGAGGGTCGATTGCGGTGACCTAGAGGGATAATTACAGTGCATTGTGAAGTAACACTACAGATAAAAAAAAACCCTCAAAATCAAACTTTAGCTTAGGGAAGTGGACAAATGTGATCTTTTCTCCTAAAATCGACGAGAAAATCTAAAGTGATCAAATATTTAATACAGACAGGATACGTTATGATTTAATTGACTTGGTTACATCTAGTAAACAAGGAAACCTACTGATATCAACTAATTTTGAAGAATTGGAAGGTGAAAGGTAAAAAAGAAAAGCATTTTGAAGTAACAAAAACTTAGTATTAGGATTTATGATTTATTGCCCTGACATTTTCTGGATTAATATTCCACTGATCATTGTGTAATCTAAACCCATTCTCACCCCGCGACGTAAAGCGAGGTTTTATTCACCAAACGACTTTGTCAGTTGCAAAGGAGTCAATATCTCCATCCAAGAGTTCCGGAATTCCAACTAGAGATACACCAGCACCACGAATATCCGTCCTCGTAGCAGCAACGCAATCACTATTAATTAGCATGTGTTCACGACACAACGAAACCGTAGCGCAGCTTTCTCGATTCCAAAGGAGAAAAGAAAAAAAAATATGGCACAACCTGCAAATTACCAATAAAAATAAGATGTTCTTCGGGCCCACACGATTCTTCGTGGTTCGTGGATATATCGCATTCAAGTACCCATATAAGAAATATAAGCCAACGGGTCTTGTCTATATAGAAGATTCTCTATGCTGTAAAACTCTATGTTGTTGTATGTCTATTATTCTCTATGTTGTAAAACTAACCTACCCCTAGTCCAAGCTAACAAACAACTACTACAGCGATTTTGGGAATTCCCTAAACCTTCCCGAGGACCCTAAACTATACGAAACTCGCTATGATTTTAATTCACTTAAGAAATCGATGTTCACTAGATAACATTACCAGTATCCTGTAGGCATAAAAATGATTTCTACAACTGGCGACAGAATGGTAAATATGCCCGTCAATAATAAGGTCGTTGGTTCGAAACCACCCAGGCCAACAAACCCTCTCGTCGCTCCGGCTTCGATAAATTTCTACCTGACGTGCAAGGGAAGAACTCCTTCCGGTCTACAACGGATGACGCCTGCCTGCTATGCAGATCCGGAAACGTCATAGCACATGCATCCAAGGAAAACCTAAGTGACGTTTCAAAAAACCTAACAAGATTTCTTCAGAGCCTGGAGGGGTATACTGATATACAATCTACTAGGCCAAACGCTTCAATAACACTTACAAAAAGACGACGAACTTTCCGGCAATTACATAATCAACAACTTCGTGAAAAAAAGGTTTTTTGAAACTTCGTCCGGAGGTCATACGCGACCTGATCCCGTATGTTCGCATCGATTTTTGATGTGGGATGGTGTAGTCGTCAACCACATGCGACTATAATCAGCTGTTCTACACTTCCTCATTGGAAGTCACGAAAAAGCGGTGGGTTTTTCGAGAAGTTGTTGATCATGTAATTGCCGTAGAGTTCTTCGTCTTTTTGTAAGTGTTATTGAAGCGTTTGGCCTAGTAGATTGTATATCAGTATACCCTTCCAGACTCTGAAGAAGGCGATACTGCCGAAACGTCAGCTAGCGTTGTATTGTATTGTGGTTTTTTATGTGAAAGTAAATGTATGCTGTTTAAAAACCTCGCGATTGCTGAACAAGAAAACGACACATTCATATTCCAATGCCGAGGTTAATAGAAAGTCGATCCTGGGAACTAACAAGATTTCATGGCACTCATAAAGATGACCTGAATTCTAAGGCGACAGCGGGATCCACACGCAAAACTCGAAGTCTTCGCGGAAGATGGACGAGAGGAAAAGAATTGAGCGAAAGAAGTGCTTGGACAAGAAGAAAATATGATGTCGGACGTGCAGTAATGGCAGCAATAAAATTCCAACAGCACTCAGCGTCACGATAGAAAAAATCTAAACTGCAGTAATTCTCATAATTTATTACATGGTCTCTTCCAAAAATTGAGAATATACCTAGCTAGCATATTTTACTAATGCTCCTTGTGCCTAATCAAAAATGAATCTTTATTGAGCAATGATTCTACGTTCCACAATGGATCAACACTACATATTCCCTGATTTTCATAAGAACGGCCACTATTGCTGCATTTTCCACCGACTTAGCACCAAAGAATACAGCATTTTAGTGAAATAACGGGAGAGAAAAGATCATTTTGGGAACATTAGGTCACTTACTGCTTCTCACTCAACCCATAACAGAAGAGAATGAGGGCACATTTCCTTCATCAATAATGAAGCTGTAACATGAAATCACCAAAACGAAACGTCATTAAGAAAAAACCCCAGAAACGACTTATCGCAACACATATTTACACGCTTACGACAGCTAAGCGTCATTTTTTTATTCATTGCCTATTCTTTCCTTCTTAACAGGCCTAAGAGAAAGGCGAAACGAACGACTCGCATGGTGTGGTGGTGAAAGCGCTAGCCCCCGGAAAGTGTAATAGTGTGTTCGATCCCAACCGCATACACCTGCGTTCCGGAGTTTTGCAAACATCCCAGCGCCATTGCGGTTATATTTCACATGATAGACAGGTGTGTTGTTACATCGTAAAAAAAACATGGAAAAGTGTCATAACTTAATTCCAAACTTACGAAAAAGTAGTTGACAACAACACATGAAAGCAATGTAAAATAATGAATACCGTTTTCTATTATAAGAGAAAACTAAAGGAACATGAGAGTGATCTGACAAGTAATGGGACTTTCTGAAACATGATAAAGAGTGGTGGAAGGGCGTAGTGCTTTAATTTGAAAACGTGAATAGAAGTTCAAATAATTGCTGTTAAAAGATATAAGCTTGGTGTGCACTTAAGAACTAACAGCGGTAATTGGTAATGATTTCAAGCGTACAACAAAATTTTTAGAGATACTCTGCACTTTGAAAAAAGAACAAAAATAGAAAAATTCTATCAAGCAGTGAACACTGCTGTTCCTCTTTTCCCTCCCTTTAGAAAAAATCTCACTTTTCCACTTCATCTTGGCCATTTTATACGTCGCAATGTTTAACCATGTCTGAGTCTTTAAAGAATATAAAAACAGAGGAAACGAAAGTACGAAATACTAGCTTACTTCTCGCATGTATTCCTTAGTCGTCATAACAAGTTCATGATATACAACCCATTCAGGCTGATTTTGAAATAGTGCTGATGACGGATGAATGAATACATTTTGTCCATCGACAAGTGTCCGATAGCCCTCCTATAAAATTACTATATATCACATAAGGAATAAAAATAAGGAATAGAATAAAAAGACGAAAGGAGCAAAACATTGCCTGAGGGTCACGCTTCGCAGCATTCTTGAAAAATCCGGAACAAATTGCCTTCTGAATCCGCTGTACGTCCCTTCCACAACTAACCAGATCTAATTTGTGACGATCCATGATGCCCAGCAACTGCTTTCGAATATCCTGAAAGGAAATTTGTTCATTCTCATGACAACTGGCTGTGAAGCAATCATATAACTTGATATACGCGTCGAACTTGTGTACTAAAGATAGCAGCAACCTTTATGGTTAAACAATATTTATAGAAGTCATATAATGCAATATTTACCTGTGCACGTTTCAAAGTCCTTATCTGCACGTAGTTTTCAAAGCACCACGGTTGACTAAAGTGATGGTGCTTCCACGAATTGTACACGGCAAGCAATGTCACGTGGTCACCTTCTGGTTGATGAAATTTAGCTTTCTTCTGGTCTGCTTGCTCCTGCTTTTCCTGATATAAAGACGAATAACTATGCATATGAAACATATGTATATATATATATATATATATATATGCATAACGACATACCCATGTATATATATGTATATATGTATGCATAAAAAGGATAAAGCTCTCGGCATTGATCAGTCTCTGGGGATGCACCATGCATTCGACTTCATTAAGCATGTTTAAACATAACTGAATGCATATCTGACCATTACAATGACTCGTGGTGACCTACCGATGTAAAGAGTCAGTGCTGCCATCCTCTCAGACAAGTTTGGTACCTATTTGCCAACCCTGGAGGGATGGAAGACTTGGTGAGCTTTGAGTGCGGGGTCGAGCCCATGTGTGCTGCAGGGCGCCTCCGACCACTTCGCCACACGCGCCCATTATATATATCTATATGCATTTAATAAACGAATCGAAGTGTAATACCTTTGGTCGGTAGAAAACGTTCTGCACGGAAAGCATCGAGACAATCGTCAGCACTTCTTCGGAACATCCTAGCTCAACTGACATTATGAGCAATTTCGCTAACGACGGCTCTAACGGAAATTCTGCCATCTAAAATTTTACGCAATAGTGTTTTAAAATTCAAAACGACCTTGATATGAAACCTAAGAGGTGATAGAATATGTAGAAATCAAAATCTCACTCGTCGACCAAGTTTAGTTAATAGACCATCACCATCTAAAGCAGACAAGGTGTGCAACTGGTGAAGTGCAGTAATCATGGAATCCAATGGAGGAGCATCCATAAAATCAAAATCGATAAGATTATTGATTCCCATGGCTTTTAGCTGAAGTAGTGTTGCTGCCAGATTAGTACGCTGAATCTCCGGAACAGGAGTAGGTAACATTTCGTCTCTAAAAATAGCCTTTTAGAAGCAGATCCCGGATAGTTCAAGGAACATGATGTGATTTAAACCTATAAGCTCTTTCTGTATAGAGGCGATAGCACTTTCCAGGCCCCGTCCTTCCAGCACGTCCTGCTCGTTGCTTTGCAGCTGCTTGACTGATAGGGGTTACAACCTGAACTCTTTACGCCAGGTCACTACAGAAACCACTTTAAAAGGAAGTACCGTTACGTAAATTTAATATTACCAATGAATCCATTCCACTCTTGGGATTGTAAATCTTCTGTTTTACAAAACCAGGATCGACGACGTAGTATATCCCATCAATAGTTAACGAGGTTTCAGCAATATTGGTAGCAATTACAACCTTAAAATTATGGAAACTGAATTCAATTTTGTTTTATATTGTTTTTAAACATGAAAAAGAAATCCAGTTAAGTAATTCTATTACCTTTCATGAGATTTAGCTAACAGAAAAATAAAGTTTGTTTCATAAATGACGATTGCTTACGGCACTGGTAGATAGAAAACCAGCTCATAGAAAGGCAAAACAAAGGACCCGTATGGTGCAGTGGTGAACGCTTTAGCACCCGAAAAAGGTAATAGCGCGCTCGTTCCCCACTGCAGACACTCCCGATCCGGAGTTTTTCAAATATCTCAGCATCCTTAACGAATAAATTGAATTGATTTCAAACAATAACAAATACCTTTCTTTTACCAGGCGGAGCAGGATCAAATATACGGGTTTGCATTTCCGATGGTAGCGCTCCGTACACTGGCAAAATAATTAACTCAGGAACATCAGGTCCTAAAGCCTTCATTCGTTCGTACAGCACCTCACAAGAAGTATCGATTTCCTCCTGAAATACAACACAACGCTACTTGTTAGGTACTTGACTCTCGCTGCGTAAGAAAGTTTGAAAGAAAGGGCTAACCAAGTACCTGTCCGGTGAGAAAGACCAGAATATCACCAGGTGGCTCTGTCAGATGTATTTGCATAACGGTTATATGTGCCGCATCCAAATAGTCCGTTTCTGGTTCTTTTGTGTACAAAATCTCTACAGGGAATGTACGTCCAGGAATTGTAAAAATTGGAGCTTCAAAAAAGTATTCCGAAAACTTCACAGCATCCAGAGTGGCACTAAAAAAGAAACCGTACAGCTTTACAATGAACACATTAGCGAACAGAAATATGAGCATAGGAAGAAAAAATGGCCTACCTAGTAATGATGAGCTTGAGGTCAGATCGTTTCTTAGCTGCAGCTTTCAGCAAACCAAATAGAACGTCGGTATGAATAGTTCTTTCATGTGCTTCGTCCAACATAATAAGCGAATAGGACATGAGATCCGGATCAACCAAGCACTCGCGCAAAAGCATACCGTCCGTCATGTACTTGATTATTGTATCTTGACTATAACGACAAGAAATAGACACTACTAGAGGGCTCAAAAACCTAATATCCAGCTATATTTGTGCTCTCCAGATCAATCCCGTTGATGGTTGAGTGCTCATAGCACCTAAAGGTCAATAATAAGGCTGAGAGGAAGGCGAAGCGGAGGACTCGCACTATGTGATGGTGAACGCGTTAGTCCCCGGAAAGGGTAATGACGTGCCCGGTCGCCACCGTAAACACCAGCGATCCAGAGTTTTTAAAATATCTCAACATCATTCTGGTGATATTTTTAAGGAATCCTAAAAACGTAGTGAGAAAGTACCCACCTCGTACAATCCTCAAAACGAATTGTATATCCAACTTCCTGTCCTAGCTTAGCACCGAACTCCTCGGCGACACGTTTCGCAACTGACATAGCTGCCACACGCCTTTAAACACGTGATATGTGGTTTTGAAAACCGACTTTCATTTACACTCTGCATGAATAATCAACATCTTGTTAGATTATTGAGTTCACACCCCCATAGTAGAAGAATAAGCGACTGTGAACAACTGACTAGATCCGATGCGGCTCCAAAGGAGTAAGACTCGAAACATTAGCCATAATAAAGTTTTTGTATATACTTATCAGATAACAAGTGATGACTAACATCTTACACGTGAGGGTCAAAAAAACTTTCGCTAATAAAAAAGCGTCATGTTCTCCTTTATCTGTCAAAGAACTATTTTTCAAAATTTTTCAACTGCTATTTTACACGAGAAAGCGGATAGCGCAATAGTGGTTGTCCTGTTCACTACACAGATGGCCTAACCTACTCAGGGGCTGGTTCGAGGTTCAGCCCGGTCGAGCCCAATAAGCTTCTCAGTGCTCCAGAGTCGAAAAATTCGTAGAAGACTAGTCTAGGACAACATGACTCCTTCCAGTCTAAGCAGGAACACCTCAGTACGGCTATCTCAGGATTCCAGAAAGTATTGACTCAATAAGCATCCAGCGACATTAACAAAAAAGACGAAAATCCTCAAGTAGCAACCGAAGCCACGAACAAAAAAGTTCGAAAACCTTCGTGGATGACAGACTAGAGGAAATGAATCGAATGCAAAAAGTGGGATTCGTATATTGTAATATATGCGATGTCGGTCCGTGTAACAAATAAAACAGACAAAAAAGTATATTTTACGTGAGCGGTTTTCAGATATGTTATGTAGGTTTCAGCACTTAAAATCGATTCCTTTCTTCCCATCCATTTTCCATGATGGTCTCCGGATTTGGGTATGAGTTCGGTCGCTGCTTGAGGATTTTCTTCTTCGTTATGAATGTCGCTGCTTGCTGGTCGAACTGATTCTCTTTAGTGAACCGTGCTAATGCGCTTCTACAAGAATTAGAGAGACTGAGCTCATCCCATGCAAGTCTTGTAGCAATTTCTACATCCCGGAGGGATGGAAAGCTTAGTTATTCCTCAGCGTGGTTGAACCAGAATCGTGTTCGTGATGAACAGTATCACTACCACCGCTCTACCACCACCCTTATATAGTTTCAATGAATATTGAAACGGCAATATTAGTGAACAAAACTTTCACAGCTTCTATTATTAAAACACCACTATCTACCAAAAAACTGGTATAATACATCTATAAACATATAGCAACCTGTAACAGAGGAACTCCATTAACAGTCAAAACATCAACTCCGCACATAAAGCAGAAATGTACCTAGGCTGTGTACAACCAATTCGACCTTTTCGTGCAAAACCAGCTTCGACAGCATATTGAGTTATTTGAGTAGTTTTTCCAGATCCGGTCTCACCAATTACAACAAGAATTTGATTATCCGTCATAGCCTAAAACGAATGTGGCCACATAATAAGCACATTACTGTGCTCAGCGGATATAGAAAACTAAGGCTAAAGGCTAGCAATTTAATAACCAGGAAGGACATACTTGAATCAACGACTTCTTTAGCGCGAAAATAGGAAGAGATTCTCGCTGTTCTTTCATGCTCAAATTGGTTCGTCTGCCATACGTGGCTTTTCCACCAGCTGTCACATGTTTCATCCATTCTGGCATATCCTATACGAATACTTAAGTAAAACTGACTGATAACCTACTGTTAAGAATGCACCACCTTGTCCCTTCTCATAGGTCCTCTGGAATCGTCGTTGTCCAGTTCTCTGTCCTGCATTGGATCCAGAATCCTTGTGCTTGTAGAACGCAAGCCACTATTCTTTTCCGCATCCTTCTCTCGTTGCGCTTGTATCTTCGCTTCACGTCTCTCTTTTGCTAATGCTCCCTAATTGATTTAGTTATACAACTAACAAAGCTTTTCTAAACTTCAAATTCCTCAAACCTGCATCAATGCTGCTTGCGCCATACTCCCATCCGGATTCTTAACCACCTTCACTGGCTCAATTTCTTGGTTTCCTTTGCCATAACCACGGAGGAATTCAGGCTCTTCTTCAACTAGCTCAACCTCGTAGTCCTCGCCGTCACTTTCCTCTGAAATTTATGCGACAGTGACAATACAAACAAAGGAAGTGCGTCAGCAATTTTTTTTCGTGGAATTCTTCCAGAATTACCGATGTTATGCAGGCTTACAGTGGAAAGAATAACCAACCACCATCTTTTCGCAACACGCCGGAATCTTCGTCGAAATCAGGTCTATCCAAATTTGTAACAACTCCAGCTCCTACCATTTGTTGCCATTCCCATCTTTCAGGTGTGGACATACGAACACGACTTTTACCACTGCAAAGAATGCTTGGTTATAAAAGCATAACTTCTGTACGAAGGACAAGGAGCATTTACTACCTCGTATTTGGAGCAACGGAACCTAGTACGTTGGAGTTCTCAGGATTCGACCAAGGCGCTTCTGGATTTCGCAAATCATTTACTCCAATGGCATCGGATAGCAACTGTGCTTCCTGTGGATTGAGATCTTCTCCCGTTGCTTGATCCACCTCTTTCAAAGACAAGGAGATCTTTCCTCCTTCAACTTTTAACACCTAAAGATCTACAGATTAAACGCGGTATGTAGGTAGCAATGAATATGAAAGTCTCAGCTGTAAATCACTTGAGGCTTCAGGGTTAGAACCGACCTTAACTTTGACATGTTGGCCTCTAGTAAGCACATCAGCAACCGCGTTTACTCGTTCATTCCTTAGTTGAGAAATATGACACAAACCTTGAGTTTGCTGCCGAATACCTTCTAGCTAAAGAAAGAAAAGATGTATATGTACAGAAAGTACTTTAAATCAAAAAGACACACCTGAATGAATGCTCCAAACGACTGGATGCTCACCACTCTACCGCTGTAGATGTGTCCTATTTCAGGGACATCCGGTAAGTCCTTATAAGCTCTGTCTCTCTTTCTTTCTCTTTCGGATTTTCTATCATCACTTCTCCTACGACGTCGATCATGCCTGACATTTTCACTACGTCTACTCCTGTGCCGGTCATCCTCCAAACTCGACCTAAGTAAACGGTGAAAAGAGATTTTATTATGAATAGATAAAAAAAGAATAGAAAAGGATAAAGCTCTCGACGTTGATAAATCCCTGAAGGATGAGCCATGCAATTAACTTCAGTAAACATCTTTGGAGGTGAGTGAATGCGTATTTAGCCTTTACCATTGTAAAGACCTGCGGTGGCCTACCAATGTATCGAGCCAGTGCTGTTATCCTTCCAAACAACTCTGGTACCAATTTGTCGTTTCAGGAGGTATGAAGGGCTTGGTGGGCCTCGAGCACGGGGATCGATCTTGTGAGTTCCAGGGCCCCTCCGACCACTGCTCCACATGCGCCCCCACAACAGGTAAGCAAAGAATCAAATCAAGCAAACGTCCATACTGCACGCAATTTTTAAGAAAGAATACCTAGAACTTGAAGAGCGCTTCCTTTTGCGTCTGCCTCGACTTCTAGATCTGTCTCTGCTAGAACTACGAGCATAACTTCTCCGAGTTCTGCTACTGTCTCTCCTTTTCTTTTTCTGCGAACTGAGTGATTTCTTAGTTTCTATTTCAGTTTCTTCTAGCTTTTCGTCTTTCTAAACCAAAATCAGTAAAGTTAAGTAATGTTGGTTGGACTTAATCTATTTAAGCACGCACTATTTCCTTCCATTTCGGAACCAGACTTTCTAACTGATCCATCATATTGTCAGTGTTGCTATTGGGCATCGCAAGGGCAGGGAGTCTTGCCTTAAGCTATCGATCTAGTACTGTGAAGAAAACCAACATAAGAGTCGAAGTTCAACTTAAGCGTCACCTTAATTTCCTCCTTTGCATCGGAAATCAATGTGATCTTATGAGAGTCTGACGTCTTCTTCTGGTATTTCTTTCCCTTCGACTTCGGCAACATATGGTGGATCAAACGGAGCAGATTTGCAGTGAGCGAATCATCAAACTAGACGGAACAGTAGACAAAAGACACGATGGTACCAAGCAACGAAGAAAATTTGGGTAAAAGAACTTACTTGATCCGCGAGTCCTTCCTCAGCTAGAGCTCTTTTAAACTTGTCAAAAGTTTTACTAATTGTTGCTAACTCGATTATGAACTCCGCAACATCTTTGTCCTTAATCCCAAAATGATTGTCCAGTTCAGAGCACACTTTAGAGACTAATGATAAACGCTCAAGTTCCTCCATTGTTCTGAAAGATCTACAGAAAACTGACGGAAGCAATGCCAACATGATCTTGAAGGCTATGTATGGCTGTTACAATGATCACATAGAACAGAACACGAAGGGTGAACTCAAGGATCTTCACGAAGGAAATCGATCTTTATTCAACATTAGAGCGTACGATTACCGATTTGTTTGATTGGGACCTAGTCCTAACGTAGAAAGCCGTAAAATATTCCGAAATATTGTTGATAGCACCTTTATGTCAATAACACGGCTGAGAGACAGGCAAAACGAAGGACCCGCATGAAGTGGTGGTGAACGCGCTAGCCCATGAAAAAGGTAGTAGCGAGTTCGGTTCCCACCGCAGGCACCAGTGGTCCGGTGTTTTGCAAATATCTCAGCATCTTTATGGTTATATTTCACATAATATCCTGCTATTAAAAAAAAAGAATAGGTAGCAAATAAAAAGCCACGATATTTCAGAACATTTTCGGATTAGCACCTAGAACCGGACACGGAACAGAAACAGGAAAGAGTTTCCATACAAGAATTTAGCATCAATTAACAGTGAAAACAACAATTTCTAGAGCAGTGGGAAAGCCTGTCAGCATCCAAAGTTATACGTCTAAGGAACAACAGAACACAATCACCATTTCAACACGTAGCGATTTTCGTGCTCTAACTAGCAAATGGTGCTCCTATCGTACAGCTCGTCCTCGTGATTTCGAAGCCACCGAAATTGTCATCCTGAGGTGAACTAAGGACCATGTGCGTTGATTTCAGTAAGTAAGCTGCCATGCGTGTTAGGTCGTTCATTTTGATTTCAGTGCGCATCTCGAGTGTGCTACAATGGCACCTCAACCGATGGCCGTGCTACGCGAAAATGGCCACGGTTGCGGAAGGATTAACTCTATGCATAGTGCATTCTATCGAAAAGCTCAGCATTTTCACGGAATATGTGTGCGTTCTTTTTCCTTAGTAGTTCGTGCTACGGGTGGCTAGCGCAGTGGCAGCGACGACGACGGTCACGAGCACGGTGATGGTTCGGCACCGCTCACGGCTCACCAGATCTTATCCTTCCGGTTTCGGGAAATTGGTAGCCGACTTGTCTGAGAAAGTAGACTGTCTCAGGCTGAATCAGCTGGGTCAGCACATTCAGCTACATTAATGACGAAGCGATGTAGCTGAACCCATACGCTAAAAGTTGAAGGACCTTGGTGGATGAAGTATGAGAGGAAACGAATCGAATCCAGGAAGTGCTGGGAACCGCAGGGTAGTTGTAGAAGACCGGCCATATAAAAATAGTAGTTCTTGCTTGTTCTGTTCTAAGAATATTCAGTGGTTTCAAAAACCCCAATTGCTTGAAGTGGATGTAATCCTTGTTAAGGAGGAGTTGCTAAAAACAGGTGTTTCTACCGATTTTCAGACCCGAAAAATGGCAGAGCTTCCAGGTGAGGGTAAGTTCTGTCGATTTAACGAGAATTGGTTTGTGTGCTTCCTTTGTCGCGTTACTGAGGAACGTTGTTATGCTCACGAAAGCAATTTTGGTTCTCTGCAGAACATTACCTATACCACTTTCCCTTTCTAAGAATTTGAGTGCTTCATATCCTTCATTCAGGGTCACCGTTAGGAGATCAATGTGTTTTCTTTTCTTTCATTTGCTGTTCTTGTATACCTCACCTGTGTCTAATCCACGGAACGCCATAGCACGGATATCCTAGGATTCAAAGGAGATTAGACTCTAGCCAGCATAGGACGACATTTATAATGAGAACCAAAATTCTTGAGTAACAGCTACACTTACATGCGGATAGAAACATTCGTGAATGGCAGATGAGACGAAACAAGTCGAATATAGGAGAATCTGGGATCGGCGCAATATGATATCTGATCTCTAGACATGCAAAGAGAAAAGGGAAAAAGAACTATCCTCTACACAACGTTCTATGGTTTCTATTAGGACGTTTCGGAAGTTTATTGTGTAACAGTACAGCTTCTTGTTCCCTGTTTGAGTGCCTTCCAGTTCGACAGTTCGTGAAGAATCCAAATCCTGTGTTCATGATAATTTGTGGCAGATGTTTCAGCTGTCTGAGCACATCTGTTTGTGATTATTTGACCATTGGGTGGCACAATTCTTCGTGTCATAGGAGCGCGTGTAGGACAGTGGTCGGAAGCGCCCTGGGACACACACATGGTATCGATCCCCGCGCCCTAGGCCCACCAACCTCTCCATCCACCTCGTGTCGGCAAATTGGTATCAGACCTGTCTGGGAAGATAGCAGCACCAGCTAATACATCGGCAGGCCACTGCGAGTAATTGTAAAGGCCAGATACGCATTCAGTCATCTCCCAACGATGATTAATGAAGTCGAATGCATGGGGCATCCATCAGAGATAGATCAGCGCTGAGAGCATTGTCCTTTAGCTTTATGAGATATCATGCTAAACTTCATTCAAATTTTCGTGTTTTTTCGAGCTAGTGTTCTTTGAAGCCTTTTTTGTTATGTAGATGACTTTAATGTTAAATCGATGTTGCTCCAAATATTTTCGGAAACAAATAGCCTGCTGGCGTTGGCTGTTCTGAAGAACTCTGATAATTCACAATTTGAGTGTTGCTTACAGTAGTGGAAGAATCGCTTCAAGCTTCACTACTACTCGGATTGTGATAGTGTTATGGGTGACTTCAATGGAAGCATAGGAGTGGCACAAGTACACGAACATAGCTGGAATTTGATTTCAGAGCGCTATAGCTTTTTGATTCTGCGGGGACACTTTTAGAAGACACTTTTATGGTTTGTGTCTTTCACAAAAGTTTCTTTCTCGTATGATAAGCTACCGCTATTGAAACTGAGACATCTTTGTCAGCTCAGCAACATAGAGTGTCTATTCGACGGCTACAAAGCCCAGTATTTTGGAGAACAATCTGCTAATCAATTCATGATAGATGCGCTATGCGTTCGACTTTATCAAACATCATAGGGGTGATTGAATATATATCTGATTTACATAATGACCTGCAGGGGCCAACTGATGTATCACGTCAGTAATTTTCAAAACCGACCATTACTTCACCAGAGTACGACTAATCAATATTTTCCTAGATGATTAAGCTAACGCGGGGTGGGCAAAGAGTTCAATTCGGCTAAAGCTTTGACTTCTTCATCTCCTTTAAAGCAGGATTGACTTGTTTGTCCAGAGCCATTTATCCTCGGGATGTGGAGTCATCGTTGTCGCATCGACTTGAACGAATCTGACTTTGATAAAGACGTCGAAGCACTAACCGAATAATAGTCTTTGCCATCCTCGTGTTAGTTTAATCATTTAAGCAAATACTTATTGATATCAAGTCAGTGTGTTTATCTTTCCAGACAGGTCTGGTCCCAATTCGCCGAACCTAGCAGACTGGGCGGAATGGTGACCCCCTAGGCGCGGGGTAGAACCAACAACTGATCCTGTGTGAAATGCAGAGCACCTCTAATCATTGCGCTATGTGCGTCCATAAGTTGTTCATTATTAGTCCATTATTAGGAATGCCATATCCGATTATAGTCGGCACGAGACCGAAGACTACGAAAAAAGTTATGAAATCCAATTTATAGGATCGATGCAAATGCAATAGCCGTTTTATCGTTTTGTACTTTACAAACGCATTTTACTTAAACAGGTATTGTTAACATCGTTACTGTATTCTATTTTAGAGATCATCTGATGCTTCACTACTTGCCATGTGGCAGTGTTATGCCATTCTCTGACGTTTAATAATGCTTAAAGCATGATTTCAAGGTATGAAATTCGCACTGTTTTGTGAAATTATACCGAAGCAACTCTAAATGCGATCAGAGAACGAAGCCATGGGAGGCTTAAGAGTGGATTTTCCAAAGAGGGTTCGAAGAGTTCTATACACAGCTGCTCTCGGTGACGAGGAACATCGTGAGCGCCTATCAGAAGTGCATTACAACTGTCTAAAATTAATTTTTGATGCTGCCCCTTTCAAAATCTACTGGAGAGCTTGTATAGCTAAACAATCTTTTACCATGAGGAAACCACTATGAAGGTGAAAAACCTCGGCAGTTGTGCCTGGTATCAATTCAACAAATGCTGGGGAAATCACCGTTGTGGAGCCAGTTCTTCGCTTTCCCTACGACGTAAAACACTCCATTCTTCGTGGTATTATGAATTGCGAAAAATATCGGATGCTAGACGACAAATCAATCGCGCTTTTTGAAATGCTTGTAACAAGCGAAGTTTCCAGCAGTTCCCAGGATCGAATTTACATCAAGAGTTGGTTAACGTAGCTGCTTTGTGATGCAAACAGGAGTTCATTCACGATGACTGACTTGAATTCTGGAATGGCAACCACAGTAGAGAAACGCTGTTGTGAAATTGATTCAATTTATCAAAAATTTCATGTATTTAGCAAGATTTGGCGAACAGGAAACCTTCAATTCTCTTGTATGGAGTGGCTCGACGACACGTTGTACAACCAATATTGCACTAGCTGAACAAGTTGTTTACAAAATTTTACCTCGGCCACCGTAGTCAGCAGACCTCTCTCTAATGGACCACCGCTTTTTCAGGAAGAGACAGAGATGATCTATGCTCACCAGATAGGAAATTCGTAAATTGCACAGTTTCTGACCTCTAAGCGTGTGGATTTTATCTATTCCCATGTTAGTTGGTAAAGTAGTGTTTGAATGGAGTTGTAATAACAACGATGCTGAGATATGAACAAATTTAGGAACTTCAGGAGGGCTTCGAAACGGCGGTAAACTTTATCGGAGATTACAGAACACCAACCGAAACCCTTGCTTTGCCTTTCTCTTGGCCAGTTTTTTCTACTCTTTCTGTGTCATAGACGTCACTCGCCAACAGATATAGGAAGCACAAATTGGCACGGAATCCAGAAAAGCTGAAGCTGAAGTCGAAATCTCAATAGTTCTCGTTAGGAAAGAGTAGGCAGTAAATAATAGTTAAGACATTGCGATTTCTACTGCAGCTTCAGCCTAACTAGGTTCAGTGCC